GCCGCGGGGAAAGCGGGTTCGGTCTGGGGTGCTGGCACTAATACTGTGGGCAGACGGGGACGCGGCAGGCACTCTCTGGGTGGTCCTGTGGGGACAAGTCACGACGCACTATTCAGAGTAACGACCCAGGAAGCTCCCACTCCAAACTAGACAGAACTTGCTATGCCCACTTTTTTTTAAGGGCAATAAGAACTTTTTATTATTATTTCTTTTCTTTTTTTAAAAAATTTAACACCCGGCCAGTGTGGCTCAGTAGTCGAGCATCAACCCATGAGCCAGGAGGTCATGGTTGGATTCCCGGTCAGGGCACATGCCTGGGCTGCAGGCTCTATCCCCAGTGTGGGGCGTGCAGGAGGCAGCTGATCAATGTTTCTCTCTCATCACTGATGTTTCTATCTCTCTCTCCCTCTCCCTTCCTCTCTCTAAAATCAATAAAAACATTTAAAAAACTCTTTAACAAACAAAATGAAATGCAGCCAGCACGTTACCCGGGTCGGTAAGCTTCGGAGCCATCTTTAATGGTTGGCAGTGTGACTTTGATCGGGTGACCGGAGGCGGACATGGACTTCTGGTGGCGGGGCCGTGCCGAGGGGACAGCAGGGGCCACGGCGGAGCCGGCAGAAGACAAGCTGCTGGCTGACATCTCCGTGAGGCTTTCCACATGGAACAGAAACACAGAGAGGCGGCAGGTCACTAACATTTAAGAACTACATTTTTTAAAGTAAACTGACTAACACCTTTCATGACTGCAACACTTAAAAGAAGTTAGCTCTAATGGCATGATTAGTGACCCACAAGTCAATGTTCTTGGGAACGATGTATAGGGTGAACTGACCATCACCTTCCATGGGAAATCAGGACCTCACCCACACTTACCCTCCTTCTGTGAGTGATTCGGAGACGGTCTGGAATGATTTTTATGGATAAAATGACTGTGACTGGAGATATTTTTCCCTTTCCAAAAGTCACAGTGTGGTGTGATGTGTTGCTTTGGGCCACTGCCCGTTATACAAAAAGAATTCATAATTATAGCAAAAATGCTATTGCTGGAAGTATGATTAAAACACTTTCCGTTCCTATCATGAATCAATAGGTTAACTGTTGCAGATTAAAGAAACTCCAGATGAGGGCTTAGTACAGGAAAAATAAAAATTCAGATATTAATCCCCAACTATTCTTTTAACCCAAGGGATCTTCAGTCCAAGGAGATCCATTTCTGTGACATACAGTGTCTACTAACTGAGAGGAAGCAAATGTAAGAATGGTCTGTGCAGTCCACTGAAATAACTAAGGATGGAACTCAGCACAGAATTTTATTAGAATGAACTCCCTGCCTTTTGTATTATATTGATGAATAGTTCTCTATTATAACTCACGATGAAAAAAAGCTAAATTTTTTAAATAATAAAAATATGGTTTATCACTATTTAAAATAAAACACTGAGAATTGCTTGGTTCTCCAGGATCAGCTGAGATGGCCACATTTCTGTAGAGGAAGAAAAACCACGCCTTTGGGATCTGGATACAGTTATGACTTGAGGGAGGGGGAAAGGGAAGGAGGTAAGAAGGAAGCAGTAGGCATGTAAGAGAATGAGATCCAAATTATGAAGATCGGATTAGAGAAGATTTCAGTAGAAAATTCTCAGGTTAAGAGATTTACCTCCTGTTTTCCCTAAATATTCCCCCTAGTAAGAATGGTTGGCTGTTGCTAGGCCAGCGTGGTTCAGTGGTTGAGTATCAACCTATGAATCAGGAGATCACGGTTCAGTTTCCCAGTCAGGGCACATGCCCCAGTTGCAGGCTCGATCCCCAACAGGGGGCGTGCAGAAGGCAGCTGATCAATGATTCTCTCTCATCGTTGATGTTTCTCTCTCTCCCTCTCCCTTCCTCTCTGAAATCAATAAAAATATACTATATAAAAAAGGAATGACTGGCTGCAATCTTACTATTCTGTATTTCCTTCCCTCTTGACCCATGAGCAGGGGGTTGTAGCACAATAACAGTGGAGCCCCACCCTTCACTGGTGACTAGTACTGAACTGCATAGAAATTATTCTCAGATAAGCACTGTGATGCTTACCTGCTGTCTTTTCCATTTTGCAGGGCCATGTAGCGGTCTGTGGTCCTTTCACAGACATACGTGTTCCTTCTTGCCATGCTTCCTCCAGCGTATACGTTGTTCTTTAAAATGGAAAAGAAAAGCCATTTTAAAATCCTAGCTGCAGTTGTGGAAAGTCAAAGAAATAAATGGAAGCTGCAAATGACTCAGAAAAAACACACACATACAAACATATGGTCGGATTTTCATTGACCAGAATCTTGTATGAATGAGCCCTATGTCACACCCTCTCTCTCAGGCGGACTGTAGGTATATGAATGAGCCCTATGTCACACCCTCTCTCTCAGGTGGACTGTAGGTATATGAATGAGCCCTATGTCACACCCTCTCTCTCAGGCGGACTGTAGGTGTATGAATGAGCCCTATGTCACACCCTCTCTCTCAGGCGGACTGTAGGTATATGAATGAGCCCTATGTCACACCCTCTCTCTCAGGCGGACTGTAGGTATATGAATGAGCCCTATGTCACACCCTCTCTCTCAGGCGGACTGTAGGTATATGAATGAGCCCTATGTCACACCCTCTCTCTCAGGCGGACTGTAGGTATATGAATGAGCCCTATGTCACACCCTCTCTCTCAGGCGGACTGTAGGTATATGAATGAGCCCTATGTCACACCCTCTCTCTCAGGCGGACTGTAGGTATATGAATGAGCCCTATGTCACACCCCCTCTCTCAGGCGGACTGTAGGTGTATGAATGAGCCCTATGTCACACCCTCTCTCTCAGGCGGACTGGTAGGTATATAATGAGCCCTATGTCACACCCTCTCTCTCAGGTGGACTGTAGGTATATGAATGAGCCCTATGTCACACCCTCTCTCTCAGGTGGATTGTAGGGGTGAAAGGTGGGACACACACTTGGCCCAGCTTCAGCTCACCGCCCCAAGGCAGCAGCTGAGCAGTTGTTGGAAAGCAACTGGAAAGCTGAGTTTTTATTCTCATCTGTAAGCTGGGGGTGGGACAAGGACAGGCGAGGGGACAAAGGCAGCTTTATGGGACCAGGAATGAAAGACAACTCTACATAAATATTAGTACCAACGGGAAACCCGTGGTAGTGACCATGGCAGGCTGGCCAAGGGTAATGCTAAGGAGAATACAGCTCATGGTCAAAGGCATGCGGGGCAAGCAGTGCCACTCTGAGGATACTTCCTCATTTCAGGTTTGAGCCGGAGGCAAGCCAAGGCTGAGAAGCTCTGGAGAAAAAAGGCCTAAGTAAAAAGGGACCAATTCTTCTCACCGCCCACAGCACCCTGCCCCACCCTCCACAGTGACTAGTACTGAACTGCATAGAAATTATTCTCAAAAGGGATGAATCCCCTTCTGTGTAATCCTTACTCTAATAGACAAAACTGTCCCTATTTATTTTTGGCCGATCCAGCTTTCACGGATCTTTAAAATACATAATTAGCTTATAATGGGTTTAATCGTGAGGTCTAGCTAGAAAGTTAATAGATATATACTATATATTTTAGTGTTCTTTTCTCTCTCTTTATTCTTTCCTGCTGCCTTCCAGGAAAATGTCTCAATCTCTCTTCTAGCTCCCATTATATAATTTCTAGTTTGCTGTTTTAAGTGACTGATGTGAGCTAAATTTATAAATACTAACAGTCTGCCTTCATCGAACACCTTACTTGTAAACATAAGATTAAATGAGCCAACATAACATGAAGTACATATTACACATGGGGAAAGGAGGAGAGTTTAATGTGCCATTCTGTGGTGAGGTTCGGTGTAATGTAAGTAATTCATATTCTATCTTCTTGTTCCTCAATTGCATTTACGAGAAGCTTGGCCCTTTTTGCATGTTCTTGAAACGCACGATTCGCTTTAAAATTGTGAAACATTAAAAAAAAAATCTTTAAACGAAAACTCCTGACAACAGATGACCACCCCAAGCTGCACAGACCCGACGGTCCACTCACGCTCGGGATAGTGGACGCCTTTTTCCTCTCCGGCCCCACGAGCGGGCTGGTGGTCACCTCGCTCTTCGATCCCACGGTCGTGCTGCCGAGTTTGCGCGCTGCCCCGTCCTTGTCCCACTCGTCTTTCTGCTCACTCTCCACGCTGTTGGCCTGAGGCCTCTTTGTGTACGATACGGCCGCGGAGATGGATGGGCCAGCTATAATTAAAAAAAAAAAAAAAAGCCCAATGAGCTACAAAACAATTGACTTAACTTCTCCTTACGAACAAATACTCTGTGTTAAAAATATCTTTATTTGCATATTTTCACTCTGAAGGAAGATGAAACTGTTTAATTACAAAAATCAGGCTGGTCCCTGCAGAGGGGATGCTATTTGTCATTCACTGACAGAGCCTGCGGTGACAGGGGTGACACAGGCACATGAAGGTGTGAATGTATGATGCCTAGAAAACACGATCTGGATGGAATCGGTCTGTTTGCACTGATTTGACTTTTCCCCCACCATGATCGCTAAAGCGCCGCTGCTTCTGATTGGCCGAGATGCTCCTCTGGACCTTCAGGTGAGCGGGGGACTGGAGGGTGCTGTTGTTTAGGTCACTACTGGGCCGCGACCTCTGACTCAAGTTTCCACTGGATAATGACTCACCGCCTTCAAACTGCAAGAAGAAGAAAGACCACCAGGGTTTCAAAACACTAAAATGTTTATGCAAACGATATGCACTCTGGATTTTTTCTCATCTATTCCAAGCCATACAAGGAGTAGTCAGAACTTAAAAAACAAAAATAATTTGGGTGCAGAACTGCAAGCTGGCAAACAGGAAGGAAAGGAAAAGGCTTTGGAGCCTTAGTGTAGTTAAAACACTACACTAATAATTGCTACCAATCATTGAATGGCAGTTATAGATTGTGCTTAGCTCTTTATATTGGTTACTTTGTTTAATCATTACAAAAAAACCTATGATTTATTAATCTGCACTTTATAGATGGAAAAATTGAGATTAAGAGAGTCAACAGAGCCCAGCTGGCATGGCTCAGTGGTTGAGAGTCAACCTATGAACCAGGAGGTTGCGGTTGGATTCCTGGTCAGAGCACATGCCCAGGTTGCGGGCTCAATCCCCAGCAGGGGGGCATGCAGGAGGCAGCCGAAAGATGATTCTCTCTTATCATTGATGTCTCTCTCTCTCTCTCTCTCTCTCTCTCTCTCTCCCTTCCCCCACCCCCTCTCTCTCTCCCTCCCTCCCTCACTCCCTCTATCTTCCTCTCTGAAATCAATAAAAATACATATGGGTCCCTAAGAGTCAAGGGACATCTCTGAATTCAAAGTCAAGGTAAAATCTAAAAGTTTAACTTTATATGCACACGTGTGTGCATGGATTTCTTCGTTTTGTTTTCTCTACCACATTTACAGAACCAGGTTTGGTTTATTGGCTCTGATCAAGAAATTGCACCTACGTAGAACTAAGTGAGGTATTGGGGATCGAAACATTACCCCTCTCTCTAACATAAAAGATGTTTGTTCACTGAATCCCCGGCATCCCAATGGGTATCCTGAACTCATGTGTAAAGATGCCAATGACAAACAGCAGGGTGATACTGATGAAATGATAATAGATGCCAGCGAACACAGGGCACACAGGAACCGTTGTAAGGACTTCAGGAGCATTAATTCATTTGACCCTCAATGACCCTAAATCAGCCGAATGCACTGCTTCCCTAACAGTTACTATCTAACTACAAATTATTTCAGTCTATTTTATAAAATGCCCCTCACAGATGTCAAATTTTCAACAAACCTTCAATGTTTTAGGCTCTGTTCTTGACACTCGATTTAACTCTTATATCTGCCGTCCCAAAGGGCTCAATCACCATCTGCATACAGCTACTTCCTAAATCTAGCTCACGACAGATCTGTCCCAGCCTCAAGAATTCCCAACTGAATGCATCAAAGCCACTCAACACTCTATAAAGTACAATGTCACCAACTTTTTTCTGGGTCCCCACCTATACAAATCATTGGAGACATGATCTACACTTGGTGGTAAACGCTGTCACTTCCTCGTTTTGGTCACTGTCTTTTCTGCACACCCAGAGGTACCATGCTACCTTTGGCAGGGCTGTTGCATTTGGGTGCACAACTCTAGGGGGCGCCATCTCAAAGCCTAGACTGTGAATGGTACTCCTTGGGGCTAAGGCACCAGGCCTGCTTTTTCATAATAGAATCTCTTGGTACTCAGAGATGAAATGGGTTCATAACTTAGCACCTTTTGAGTTTTGAATTCTAACACATAAGAAATGGTAGGGTCTTTATGTTATTTCTGATACCACACAGAATATATCTGCTAACTTTATATCTTACTAGAGGTCTGGTGCACGGATTCGTGCACTGGTGGGGTCCCTCAGCCTGGCCTGGGGCTCTCCGACATCCCCCGAGGGGTCCCATATTGCAAGAGGGTGCAGGCCAGGCTGAGGGACTCCACAGGTGCACGATCGGGGCTGGGGAGGGACTGAGGGAGGGCTACAGGGCGTGTCCGGGCCGTCTCGCCCAGTCCTGATCTGCCTGACCCCCACAGCAAGCTAACCTACGATTAGTGTCTGCCCCCTGGTGGTCAGTGCGCATCATAGCTACCGGTCAAACAGTCGAATGGTTGTTTAGGCTTTTATATATATAGATACTTAGCCATCACTAGCTCAAAAAATGATTTATATTAATCTAAAAATGTGAAAAACTTACTTCAGGTGGTTTTCTACCTAGAAGAATGTAAGTAGCCATGACTTCATCATATTTCTGATTTATTAAGGCGTCATTTATCTCATCTCGTGCGAAACCCATGGTGACCATGACATCTGGAAATTTGAAAAAAATGCAAATTTTATGAAAATGGGTTTATTTTAGTAAGCAAATGAATAAAAATTGGCCAAGCTTGCCAACATTAGATATGAAAACTAAGTTCTAAAATTTTAAAGTGGAATATCAATTATAAAGACTTTCGGATTATTAACACATGGACACCGTATATTCAGATACTGTATGTTCACGATTTTTCATGCAGAGACTATCTATATCATGAGTTACAAACGATTGGGCCCATTCCCTTTCTCATTGCCTAGCACATTCCCAAGCTGAATTCCTCTGTCCATCCAGACTCACAATATCTGTCTGTGACACACAAAATCCCTTTTTCCTCTGTCTCTCAACACACCCTCAGCCTCCCATGGAGTGGTCTCTCCCATCTCTGAACACTCTCTGCTTTCTGATCTGAAGGCAGGCTGAGTCCTCCTTGGGAGGCTAGAATTCCACAGTTGTCCTGAGCAGAGTCCTAACACCCTAGAATGTTCCTCCCTTTGTCTTTAAGCCAGACAGGAGCACAGCTGAGATGACTCTGTTTTGAGTTCCTAAAGGCTGTGGGAAGGGAGAGAGTAACAAAGAAAACAGTTTGGCAGCAGTTTGGGGCTGGGCAGGGAGGGTGGACGCTGATGAGACACAGAAAACACAAAGTGAGGGGCCCTATTAGCTCAGGGCCTCTGTTTTTGGTTGAAATACATGCTATGTTTTGCTGATATCAGTCTGATCGATGCTGAATCAGTCATTCCTCCTGTTAGAAATTGCTGAAAGGAAAGAATGAGATTTATCGACATCATTTTAATTTGTGTTTCACTGTTGCCAACACTTGAATTAGATTATAATATGCATGAGAACAAACTAAGGAACTTGAAATTTGCAGTGCTTGGTGTATATCCGGGGAAAGAAAAGATGATAGAGCAGGTGTTTTTCAAATAAAAATGGCTTTCTATTTATATTGTTAAATGCTATTCTGGTAGACGAAAGGACCCTTACTTACAGCCTGGGGTCAGCACCTCTCACAGCATTTAAGTACTTACCTATCCTTTTTGTGTCATTGAAATCTGGTTCAGGCTCAGTATACGGCTTTAGTTCTTCTTCTTCGTGACCAACATTCATCCACCGATCTTTCATTATTTGCTAGGAAATAATTTCTACATTATGTTTGGCCAACCAGAACACTCAACCATTTCAAAATGAGAGACAATAGTCAAACAGGATTCCAAACTTAACAAAAGAAAGTTTACTTCAGCTACCACTGCCTATAGACAAAAATGACTGCTTGCTGGGACATTCTAACAAATTAATTCATGCAGATGAATGGTGAGGAAGTAAGCAAATGAGCAATGGAAATACACACCTTACACTTAGGTGTACAGAGAAAAGAGATGGACTTTGGAATGGCCAGATGGAAATAACTTTTCTTAAATAGGTTCCACTTTTTAAAGCCCATCATGTGCTTCTGAGTTTATATTTTCCTTTTCTAAGAAGAGGTTATTAGTAGGAGGAGGAGGAATGGCAGTACCATCACTGGTACTAGCCAGACATCAGTAAGATGCTTAAGATTATCTGAGCTACAGCTAAAAAGGTGTTAAAATACTTTTTGAGAATTACCAAAGAGGACAGAGAAAGGGCAAAAAGGAGGAGTCTTGCTTTTGCTCAAATTTTGCATTGTTTTGAAAGGTAACAGTTCATCCTAGTTCAAGACTGGAAAGAGATGGAATCGCCCAGAAGTTTTTCAGTTTCTCTCTAATAAAAAACCTAGATGCATAAAAATTCAGATAACCAGGATATAAAAATAAAAACAAGTTAAACCTGGAGCACAAAAACGACTTACTTCCAAGCTGCCTCTTTTAATGGGATTCAGCACTAATAATTTCTTCAGAAGGTTTTCACAGTCGGTGGACATATAGAAGGGGATGCGGTATTTCCCGCGTAATACTCGCTCCCGGAGTTCCTGAACAAACAAAAGAAAGCACTGAGGACTGGCGTTTGCAAGGACCCTGCGTGGGGATAGCACGTGAACGTCAAAGTCAGCCGATACCTTCAGATTCTGGCCGTCAAACGGCAGGGAGCCGCTGACCAGCGTGTAGAGAATGACGCCCAGGCTCCACACGTCCACCTCGGGCCCGTCGTACTTCTTCCCCTGGAAGAGCTCGGGAGCGGCGTAGGGGGGGCTTCCGCAAAATGTGTCCAATTTGTTCCCGACTGTAAACTCGTTACTAAAACCAAAGTCAGCAATTTTAATATTCATGTCAGCATCAAGGAGAAGGTTTTCAGCCTAAGAGGAAAATAATAAAAAGGACAATGTAAAGAGCCTACATAACATCACACGGCCATTATCACTCTTCCAGATCCCAGACCTGTCTCTCCTGCCTCGTGTTTTCCGAGGTAACAGCTAATGGAGAAGCCCAGCAGGTAGGTGCATGTGTACCTGCTCGGAATTCCATCTACAGAGGCTGCATTTTAGCACCATACAAGGAGAGCTCTCATTTGTATGCTTATCTGTAGCTGTTTCAAACCCTTTTTTTCCTTCAAGATAATATCCTAGAACTGTATTTTATTTTTTTTTAAAATTTTTGTATTGATTTCAGAGAAGAAGGGAGAGGAAGAGATATAAACATCAATGATGAGAGAGAATCACTGATTGACTGCCTCCTGCCCGCCCCTAACTGGGGATTGAGCCCACAATCCAGGCATGTGCCCTTGCCCTGAATCAACCCCGGGACCCTTCAGTCCGCGGGCTGACACTATCCACTGAGCCAAACCAGCTAGGGCAAGGAACTGTATCTTAATATGACCTAGTCAAAAGAACATCAATCAAATAACACTGATCCGTTTGGGTCTTAAACCAACAAGTTTACCCAACAGCACTCTACTTCAGTAGAGGACCACTGGTTAACACAAGGCTAATACCTACAGTAACTGCCAATCAGGGCTTCTGTGACTACTGAGCTCAATCCATTGCCCTCTGAGAGCATGCTTCCTCCACAGAGTTCTGTTCTCTCAGTAACACAGTACAATGCAATACAGGCTCCATTAGAGCGTGTCTGCTTTAAGCTTCCTTTTGCTGTTTTCAACTAGATTCTCTTCTGGAGGTATATTATGGTAGAAAGTAGTGATTCTCCCCGCAACCCTAGCCTCCCAATGTTTGAGATACTGGTTTTCCAAAATCCTAAATCAGAATCACTCAAAGAAAAAGTTTTAAATGTGTCTTTGAGCTTTAATGTAAAGAATGAGAACTGACTCATATTAGACTAACCTGAATTTGTGCCCAGACCTTGCTTCTGACTGAAGTGGACTTTAGACATTTTTAGTTTGGGACAAAGTTTACATTTATCTATAAAACAAGCTATTCATGGCGAATCAAATCCTCTAGCCTTTAATGCTAGCTGACTACTCATATCTTTTATTTTCTCAGTGACAAAATTGCCTCTCATAAAATTGCTGTGAAGATTAAATAAAAACTAATTTCTTTGTATAGTGCCGGGTCAATGAGGCAACCAAACATAGCTATATTATTATAAACCATCCATTAATAATTAAAATTTTTATGTTATAAAATCAGGGCTTACCTTAAGATCACGGTGAACAATGCACTTTTGATGACAATACTGTACAGCGGATACAATCTGAAATGAATATTTGGATAAAAGATTAAAAAATTATTTTATGGTAAAAGAAAAAATCACAATTTCCCCCAATTATCACCTCCAATTTAGATTACTAGCTTGAATTTCAAAGTAACATTTAATAATCTCAATGTTCCTTTAGTTCAGAAAACTATACATATGAAAGTTAGAGTGGTGAAACTCACCCTTAAACGTAGAAAATACTAAAAAGTAGAATTCTCTTGCTAAAATATTTTTGTCTGAGTTGTGAAGATTTTTATGGGTTGTTATATTTCTCTGTTTACATGATCAAATGTGTACAATTGATAGTTTGGGTCAAATGGTTTATTTATTCGAGTGTTGTAATAAGAGCTCTGGCAAACATGAAGCAGTATTCCAAGATAGTTGGTTCAAGTTCAAAAAGCAAAACTCTATTTTAGGAATTATATCAAATGTGTTCAACACATGTTTCTTCAGTGAGGACAACTGACTAAGAACTTAGCCCGTGGGGTATTTAGCAACATCCTTTGTGTTCATGTACAAAGAAATGTGAAAAATGTACCTTAAAAATAAACCCAATTATCAAAAGAAAAGATTAAAAAGTGAAAGTTAATCTTAAACTTGTCACTAATTCAGGTGGGCTAAATATTCTACACTGTAACTAGATTTTGTATGCAGTGAAGATTTTCAACCATTACATAGGGCTCTCTGGGGACAAGGTCTAAACAGGGAGGAACCCAACAGATTAAGAGCCAGAGAAACAAATGATAAATCGGTTATAGCAATTCTTTCATAGTTTTTAAATACAGAATTGGAAAGATTCTGATAGCAATCACGTAAGCATGTTTTTATTGATTTTTTTTTTTTTGAGAGACAAAGAGGAACATCGATGTGATAGAGAAACATTGATCGGTTGCCTCCTGCACACAGGATCAAACCACAACCTGGGTATGTGCCCTGACCAGAATTGAATCAGCAACCTTTTGATGCGTGGGATGACACTCATCCAACTAAGCCACCCCAACCCGGACTAAGAGCTATTTTGTACATATAGTTATATCTGCTGTCTAGGAGGACAACCGTTGTAATACACAGCAGAACATTCAATTCTGTGGATTCAGGTAAATGTAAACACAGTCTGAATGCTGAATATTGGTTAGGCACTTACAAATGGAGATAGCAATGAGATTTCTGAAAGGCTAAAGGTGATGTGAAGTATGACCATGCTAACAGGAATATGGGTTAAAAAAAACCAACAACTTCTAAGTAATAGATGTGAAACTGATGGTTCAGTATTCTAAAGTTATCCTGATGTATATTAAAATGGTTCAAAGACAGAGAAGACATGAATTCAAAACAAAACCAACACACAATGAGCAATATGTAGTTCAATTAAATTTATTTTGAGCCAATAGTCAGTTTATTGAGTACCTACTATGTGCAAGAAAATGTGCTAGGGAAACACAAAAATTAACACTGCATGGATCCTGCCCTTACGTAGCTGGCAGACTGATTAGGAGTAGAAAACATGTATACAGGTAACCATAAAACAAGGCAGAATCATAGAAGAAGAAGTACAAAGAAGTGAGGAAATCCAAAAAAATAAAGAATCGTTAGGAATGCCTCCTGGAGTTGGTGATAACTGAGCGAGGCCATCCTTGAAGGGCAGCAATATTTTAGAACGTGGAGATTTGGTGATGAGGGGAGGCTGGTAAGGGGCTGAAATGCACACTCTTTGAAAAGTTGGGGGGAAATGGTCCTACTACACCTTGGTAGGCTGGCAAGTCTCTGAGTTCCAAACTAAGCAGGTCCTACGTAACCACTGTATGTTTTCTGAGCAGAAAGATGACGACGGAGAATGATCACTTTGAAGCGTGAGTCCCTCAAATAGAGCAGAACCTGACAATGAATATTTGTAGCATGTTCTCTTAAGCAATCTGTTTCAAAATTCTAATATCCAATGTTCACTGATATATGTTGATTAGCCAAGAGATATGCACATTCATATATAGATATTAGTAAATCTTACTGAACATAATACATGGGCTGTAGTATGTTCATGCTGTAAGGCTATAATTGTATCATGGATGACAGAAATGTGCTGATAATGATATTATCTTTTTCGAGTCCCTATGTCTTGACACAGTGAAGGAGGCACGCTATAGATAATGACTTGGTTACCACACATGCACGTCACATTAGACAGAACAATCTCCAGGTTCTATAGGCACTTCTGAAATAAAAATCCCCTGGGCCTTAACACATTCGGAATGGAAAGATAATTAAAGAGAATGTTCCATGTGAAGCATTCATTCTCCCCAAACTCTTTGACCTCTGACCTCTAGCAGTCAAACATGGTGGTTTAGAGTATTCACCACACTCATCTAGCCAGGTACAATTTCTGATGTGAAAGAAATTCTGGCTTCAGACTCACTGCAAGAACCCCACCCACAAGTCCAGGTTGTACTGCATTGTTCTAAGGCCAGACCCTCCCATCTCAAAACATCCATAAATGGGATGCAGGGATTTCTTTAAGGTTCTTCTGCTATAGATCATGCAAACATGAATTATTTTTTAAAATATATTTTATTGATTTTTTACAGAGAGGAAGGGAGAGGGATAGAGAGTTAGAAACATCGATGAGAGAGAAACATCAATCAGCTGCCTCCTGCACACCTCCCACTGGGGATGTGCCCACAACCAAGGTACATACCCTTGACCGGAATTGAACCTGGGACCCTTTAGTCTTTCAGGCTGACGCTCTATCCACTGAGCCAAACCAGCCAGGGCCAAACATGAATTATTGTCAGCCCTGCACTGCTCCTAAGACCAGGCATGGAAGTGTTTTGCTGTGAGATGCAACTGCTAGGGTCACTTTGCAATTAGTTATTAAGTGGGTCAGGAATTCCTAAGCTTTAGTTGCCTTCGTATTGGAAGAGCTGAGTCAATGCTATAATTTTCTTGCAGGCCATCAAATCCTAAGGAATGCAGAGGCATTGTCTGACCAATGTTTGCTCAAGTGGCCTTGTGCAGGGTCTTTGCTATATCCAACTGTAGAATCAAGGGCACATACAGGGTTGGCAAAATTAGGTTTACAGTTGTGAGCATGTGAAACACAAGAGTTTATTCTTATATTATTCTTGACTAATTATTGTATTACTTATTTGTATTACACCTGGAAACCTACTTTTGCCCACCTCTGTATAAACGGTTGGAGAAGTCCTAAAGAAAAGGGGCAGAAAAAAACTTGTTTAGCTTTAAAAATATATATATGTTTTTATTGATTTTAGAGAGAGAGGAAAGAAGAGGGAGAGAGAGAAACATCGATGGATCAGTTGCCTCCTACACACCCTCTTCTGGAATTGAGCCATTATTCTTGATTAATTATTGTATTACTTATCTGTATTACACCTGGAAACCTACTTTTGCCCACCCCTGTATAAACGGTTGGAGAAGTCCTAAAGAAAAGGGGCAGAAAAAAACTTGTTTAGCGTTAAAAAAATATATATGTTTTTATTGATTTTAGAGAGAGAGGAAAGAAGAGGGAGAGAGAGAAACATCGATGGATCAGTTGCCTCCTACACACCCTCTTCTGGAATTGAGCCCACAATCCAATTTCAGTGAACATCAGATATTAGAATTTTGAAGCAGATCGCTTAAGAAAACATGCTACAGATATTCATTGTCAGGTTCTGCTGTATTTGGGAGACTCACGCTTCAAAGTGATCATTCTCCGTCATCATCCTTCTGCCCAGAAAACCTGTAATGGTTACACATGCATGTGCCCTGACCACGAGTTGAACAGAACCCTGTTAACTTTTTGGTTCAGCATGCTCCACATTGATCACTGAGTGAGGTGGTTTTGTGAAACCTCTGTTGTTACATGACTATTTGGAACACAACGTGCAAAATGCTTTCTGCATTTTAAACTGTTTTAAAAACAATTTACAATTTATTAATGTGTCATGTCTATAGTAATTTATATAGTATACTACTTTAATCCCTTTATTCTTAAAAATTAAATCTTAGATCAACTTAAATTACTTTTTCTTATTTTTGTCATTTCTGTAACAAGTCATATTCAGAAAATGCAACTATCTTACCACATTCTTCGGCCATATTTGCAAGGTTCCTTGCCTACCTGACTAAATAAAATTGACCATATCTTTAAATCTATAAAATATGAGTTCTAATACCAAGACATCTTTAATTATAAAAGAAAATAATACTAACACCTCTTTAAACAGTACACATATATACTGTATACATAGAGCTAATAATACTTGACAATAATTATTGGATAAAGGACTAAGTATTTCTTTTCTATCTCAGTCTAGTCTCTATTTCCAAGACTATCAAAGAGTTAACGTGTCTCACTTATTAGCATTTCACTATTTGTGATCATCTATAAGTAACCATTTGCAACTCTCTGAAATTTAAATTCAGGAAGAACAGATTTCTTTTTTCAGTTTTCCATTCATAAAAAGTGTTAGAAAGCAAGACTTTTTCTTGTTAAAAAACCACATACTCTGAAGTCCAGTTTATGACACTATCCATTGTACATCACTAAAAAGAGCAGCAAGACAAAGTTGAAAACTACTTTGCGTACCTGCCTAAATTTTGCACGGGCCTCTTTTTCTTTCATTCTTCCATGGGCAACTAAGTAATCAAATACTTCACCTGAATCGGAAAGGTAAAGCAGGCAGTAAAATATACATAAGATTTTCAATGAACAACATATGCAATGTCAAGTTTGTGGCTTGTGTCTAAAGAAGCTTCTGGCCCCCAATTTTCTGAAAGTTCTACGTAAATCACACTCTTCCATGAATAGAAAAAAAGGGGGGATTACATATAGAATTGAGTATCTGTAGCAGCTGATGATTTAGCAAAACTCTTTAAAGAACAAGTTATAAAAACATAACCAAGAAAAACTTGCTTTCTGCTTGTCAAGTCTTATGTAGAAGAATACAGTCAACTCTTTATTATCTGTTCTAATAAAGGGAACGGGCAGCACGGGCAATCAAATCACATTTGGCTTTGTATTTGGGGCCTACATTTCAAATAAAATAACAAGTCTTTTTATGTTGGATCTCTCTCTTTAAATTCATGAAGCCTTGGTCAAAGTCCATCTCACTATCGCCACACACACTGATTTCTTTCTTTTCCTTCCTATATTCTGGTTATGCCATACCCATTCCATCTATTTTGTACCTACTTATTACACAGAATTAAATCATCCTTTTGTGCATCTCCTATTACCCTAAATGAGCTTCAGACTACTTGAGCACCATGGTCATAGCCATACTTTCTTTGTATCCCCAGCTTCATGACAGAACACAAAGTGGATAGACAATACACACCTGTTGAAATAATTTAAAGACAACTAGAAACTGTAGAGATTTTCTATTAGCTCTATCACTTTATGTGTTGTGACTTTATTTTTTTCTACTCAATAACAGTAAAAGAAAAACCTCAATATTTAGTTACGATGTTTAAAATAAAACATCTCCGTATAAAGAAGAAATTATTTTTGTGTCCTTTTAATTATAATTTATACCATATAGATATATATGCATATTAAAAACTCACACAATAGCTTAAAGAGTTCTTATAAACTACAGCAAAGTGGTTAAAACTTAGACTTTAGAATCAGACCAATTTTGGTATGAATCTTGGTTTGGCCCCAAAGTAGCTATTGGGTGACTTCCTTAAGACCCAGTTTCTATCTATTGCCTATCTCACATGGCTTTTTTGAGGATTAAATGAAATAATGCATGTGCTTAGCACAGTGACTGGCATACAGTAAGCACTCAATAAATTATAGGTTTATATCTAGGTATACAGATATATTACATATACATGTATATGCAATATCAATCCTAGGATGTGAGTGAAATATTAAAAATCAAATATGTAATGGTGTACGTCAGATGAAACTAAGTCATCTACAATGTCAGGCAGCATATTACTTAAATGATTAAATGGGATGATGAAAACAGAGAAATGAATGGATGCTCTAGTTGACCCATCATAGGTAATTCTAGATACATGAGTTGAGGCTGGGAAAGATACACACACGAGTTCAAAACTTGGGACTACTCTTAGTTCTGCCTGGAACACTCAGGCCCCAAATGTTGGCATGGCTCAGTCCTTCGCTTATTATATTGTTTGTTTATGGTTTGCTTCCCCAACTAGAATGTAATCTTGAGGGCAGGGACTTAGTCTTTGCTCACCCATGTGTCCGCAGCACCCAGAATATTACCTAATACGTAGTCAACATCTAATCAATATAGTTTGTGTGAGGGAAAGGAGGAATAAACACACCACCCCAGAGCAGCCTTGACACCTACTTTTAATAGGCTCTTTTGGACCAAATCTAAAGGAGTTCCCTGCCTTCCCATCACTGGAAATTTTTTGTCCCATCAGGGAACCAAAATCAACTGATCTACTCGCGGCCAAGAGGCAGCTGTCTGACCCCACTCTTCTTGTCCATGTTAGATTTCTCTGTGCATGTCAGACTCAATCCTAAAATATCTGGACATTTCAGCGGAAAATATGAAGAGTTGTATTTTCCAGAGGAGCTTTGCCATTTATAGATCAAAAGGGCAAGAAAAGGATTCTAGATTTACTGCCAGAACCATGATGGTTTTGTTACAAGATTGCTGACTGGCAAGACCGAAGAAAATCGAGCCCTAGGAATGAGAACTGAATGAGGGACCACTTGGTTGGGGCTGAACTCCAGTACATCGTCTCTCCACCACAACACCCCTCCAACTGTGCTCCCCATCACCCCAGCCATCGGTCCCCTTCATTAGCACCAATAGAGAGTTGACTGTACTTACCATTCATTGTTAACACAGTATATATATTAATGCCACTTGTGTTTAAAACAGAATGATGTTCACAGATTGTTAGCAGTCTATAATTTCTCCTATCAAAGCATGTTTAGCCCCTATTTTTGGACTTTAGATGACTAAAATGAAAAAAAAGAAATGGTCTAACAACTAAAAATAATGCTCAGGGTTCCCACGCTGACAAAATGTTATATAAATCTAACTGAAGGATGGAAAAATAGAGTAATAGTTCGTTATGTGTTTTTTATAGGTTTGTTAATTTTATTGTAGACCTTCACTTTATGCAAATTTGCATGGCAGAATAACTGTTTAAAATCCAAAAATAATAAAACATTAATAACATTGGTTTTCCAGGTAAAGTAAAAAAATCTACACTGAAATATCTTCAGGATGGGAAAAAAAAAGCTTTGTAAACAACCAAATCTATTAAAACTTTCAATCTCCATAAAAAAACTGAAAATGCAATTAAAATATATTTAATATTTGCAGTAAAAAATTTTTGAAATCTAAGAGACAGTATAAAAATACATAATTTAGATGTTTTATAAACTAGAATTAATCCTCTTTATTCTAGCTACATAAAATCTGAATCACCAGGAAAATCTATGTACTTTATCAGCTAAAAGGACTCAACACTGGTTTTCTATTGATTAGCAAAAGAGTTAATTAGCTAAAGTGCTTTAAATACTTAGAGATGCCCTCCCTCTTCTTCAATTTTCTGAGCTCTTAAAACCTTCAAGTATTCCTTTTCTACTTATTGAATGATTTACTCCATACACTTTAAACCTGTTTCTGAGAACGTTGAGTCCTACGCCTAACGGAACTGAGGTTTTCAGCCAGCGTATCTCTCACTTGAGGGAAAGGCAGACGAAAATGGTTTTCTATATATATCCGTGTTTAAAAATCATTCCTATACCTTCTGGTATACCTATGTAGTCAAAATACACTTTACATTCTACTACAAATGCATCTTACTATTTCCCTGTCAATTCAACCTTTCAGCTTTTAGAATATATAGATCAATACTTGTGTAAATTCAAACATTTTATGGATTATTTTGAAAATGAACATATACTGAGAATCTTTCATATGTGAACAATCAGAGAAATAAACATTTGGCCTAGAATATTCTTTTGCCATAGTCTTTATTAAACACATTCTGAATTTGAGATTTCCAACTTCTAGTCATCATAATAATATGACATATAATAATACTATTTAGATAAGAGAATCAAATCATTCATAGATAACAATGCAAATTTAGTTTTTAAAATGTCCCTAAGTAATTTTAAAATGAGCCCCAAACCCAACTTTTAAATGTAGGGTTAACAGGTCAGCAAACACTGAATTTTCCTTAAGGTATCATGTAAAGGCATTTTAATAAAACTGTAAGTTCATTAACAGCAATAAAGACATAATCTTGAGGTGTGGACAATCCTATGTCTCACCAAAGAGAACTTTTCAAGCCCCACATCCTTACCCCCACTTGCGTATTCCATGACTAGATAGAGGGTCTTCTCTGTTTCAATAACTTCAAACAATTTTACTGGAAAAGAAATTAGAAATATACCTCTGTAATTGTTAGCATGTATTGGTTATATTTTTTTTAAAAAAAACATGTTTTAATTGATTTAGAGAGAGGAAGTGAGGAGAGATAGAAACATCGATGAGAGAGAAACATCAATTAGCTGCCTCTTGCATGCCCATACTGGGGATCGAGCCCGCAACCCAGGCATGTGCCCTGACTGAGAATCAAACCAGCTACCTCCTGGTTCATGGGTCTATGCTCAACCACTGAGTCACAATGGCGTGGCTGGGTATGTTTTAATGAAATGAAAGGTAACACTAAGCCAGTGGAAAATTTGAATATTTATTAAAGAATATTAATTACAATTTTAAATTTTAAAATTCTCTTATGGATTATTACTCTTTTGGAAGAACACTACTTACCATACAGTGATTGGGAACTGGCTGCTAGGTCAAAAGAAAGTTAAGTTTCTGGCATTAAAGAACCATTACCTTTTCTAATCAGAATAAAAGGAATGAAAGGAAAAATCTTAAAATCATAATAAAAAATGTTTTACAATAATAAATTTTAAATAAAGCTTTAAAAGATACTATGTTATAATGGGCCTATCATAAAACATTAAATAATCTTTAGTACAGAAACAAGAAAAATTCTATAAATATGTGATACTATAAGTTTGTGGTTAAAAAACTACTAAATTATCAGATTTATGTAGTTGAAATTATACACCACAAATAATAATATGAATATTTCTAGTAAACATAAAATTTTTAAATGTGCAAGATACAAGTGTTTTAAAAACAGATTAAAAAAAGAATTGCTTTCTCCTTCTTAAAATCTAGTAACTTCATGTAATACATGCAATCAATACACTTATTTGTAAATATAGGGGAAACCCAGAATTTATAGAAATAAATCCACTAAAATTGAAACCAGCTCGTTTTTAATTCAAATTAATTATTTTGCCTGTAAACTATGAGAAAGCTATAATGAATATTATCAAATTATTTGGAATTTATTTTTATAAATATCTAAATGGCATGCAATCTCTCTTGAGGAAGACTGAGTACAGAGATACAAAAAAAACATGTACTGTATATGGATCAACCCCAAGTCATATCCCTCATTTTAGGGGAAAACAGAAGACAGCAAGGTAGTAACAAGCAGTAGCCTTCAGCTAACTTCTTTATAATCTATTTTTACCCAAAGTATCACTTTCTCAGGTCACCCTCAGGTTTCTATTTATCATCTTTCTTCTATTTATATAAAACATCCTTAAAATTGTATCTTTGCAAATAACACTCAAATGAAAGAAAACACTTCATTATTCATGTATAAATTTCATACCTATGTTAGGGTGATTCAATATCTTCATTATTCGTACTTCTCGAAACAACTGTCAAAGAAAACAGGCAGACACACTCCTGTTAGAAAAGAACACTCAAGCGGAGAATCCAAGAAACGCATCTGCTAACAACACACCACAGGATCCTGGTGATGAACTAAGAAGCCATTTGTTTCTCATCCCATCCCTAACTCTGCTGAGACTTGGTTTCCAGGACAACTTTTATTTATTTTTTAATCCTTACCCAAGGATATTTTTTCCATTGACTTTGAGAGAGTGGGAGGGTGGGGGGTGAGACAGAGAAAGAGAAACATCCATGTGAGAGACAAATTAATTGGCTGCCTCCCGCATGTGCTCTGACCGGGGCTGGGGATTGAACCTGCAACCCGGGTACATGCCCTTGACCAGGAATCGAACCCGTGACCCTTCAGTGCATGGGCCAATGCTCTATCCATGGAGCAACAGCAGTCAGGGCACAGACCCAAATTTTTAATTTAATGTTAGAATCAGCAGGTATAATTAAATACGCCATATTAAACATTTCTTATAAGGTGCTCCGACCGGGGCTGGGGATTGAACCTGCAACCCGGGTACATGCCCTTGGCCAGGAATCAAACCCGTGACCCTTCAGTGCATGGGCCAATGCTCTATCCATGGAGCAACAGCAGTCAGGGCACAGACCCAAATTTTTAATTTAATGTTAGAATCAGCAGGTATAATTAAATACGCCATATTAAACATTTCTTATAAGATTCTCTGTTTTAGGAATCCAAAGTCATTTATGTAACATTTACTGGTACATATATGACTGTGATCCCTATATATTCAAATAAAAATCACAACGGATATGATCACTATGCAAAATGAATATATATATGGCAGAAATGTTAAAATATCTGCTTCGTTTTTAAAGTACACATTTTTAAAATGTGCATCTGAGCAAGTTTTCCCACATAAGCAAGTAATAAAGCAACATGAAATAGCTACCAGGTTCACAGGGCAATCCCCATCCTAACTGCTTTTTATCTCCCCCTCCGCCCCCGTTTTCTTATATTTCCACTTTTTGAAGAAATGTTTGTATCTTTTCCTGTAAGTTAGCAGAAACACTAGTTCTTGTAGAAGAAGAAAGAAAAGCAAGTGAAGCTATAAAAGGAAACCCACTTATGGAGAATATTAACTCATCCATAGATGTTTAACGAAGCAGAATTCTGAATACTTCGAATATTTTAAGCCAAGTTTTATTCTACTGAATTAAATACATTACTTCCTTTCATATGGTACATGCATTTGAGTAGTAGATATTTTTCAAACAACTACCTCAAAAATATTGTTTAAATATAAATGTTTTACATCATGTCTTTTCTTCATAGATTAATGAAATGCAATATTGCACCTAGTTGAAAATTTAGGATACCTGGCTTTACAGAACTCATATATTAATTAGGAAACTCACATTCTAATTATTTACTATTAAAATAATTACAGACCTTTTGTAGACTGGTAGGATTTAGCTGAGTTTTATCTATTATTTTCACAGCAACCTAAAAAAGAGAATCATTAAACTGTATTTGAGAATACATATTTTAATGAATAAAATTTTAGAAAGAAAACATCTGTTCTTTCATTTCTAACTAGAAATAATTTAGCGTTCACATAATTGGATGGCAAAGTTTTGATAATTTGGCAGCCTTAGAATATATACCATTGACCCACATCTTTAACCCATTTGATTCTGAGTCAATGAAATTACACTTGCGTTATTACTTCCAAGTTTCCTCTTTAAAAATAAAAATCATCTACATCTCAATCTTTTACTCATGATCTTGGTAAGTTACAAATATCAGAGGGGAGGGGCTTATAAACTTTTCAGTAACATAAGTACTATGTGAATAAAATGACGAGGTGGGTAGAGAAAATGGCCGCCCAAGCTTAGTTATAGCAGACCAGCAAAGTGGATCTGAATGTCCTCTAAGTCTCTGCCTAATATAGAATGTACTTGAACAGCTCATGGGTCAGAATGGACAGGGAGGACTAAATTCAACTGGAAGGGACAATAATATTAGGCATAGAGCAAAATTAAAACTTATCAAAAACATTTTATGACTGAGATTCCTCACAATGTCCTAATTGGACCCAGTAAATATTATGTTATGTAGAATGTTAGATGTTTAACTATTTTCAATCTTGAACACAGAAATGACTAAAGACATTAATATTAACAATAATTATTAAATATATACATTTTTGCTATATAAATACACATAATTTAAAGCACATGGGATTTTAGAAACCCAATTTTCTTATAAAACATCTGTATCACAACACTTCTTTAATGTGGTCTCTAAGTAGATAAAAATGAGTGAGTTGCTTTCTACACATTTATACCTAATCTATAATAATAAAAGCATAATATTCTAATTAGACCAGACGTCCTTCCAGATGTCCTTCCTTCCGGACAAAGCCACGGCAGGCGGGGGCCGAGGCAGAGATGGCCATCACGGTGGCAGGGGCCAAAGCCTTGCATGAATTTTGTGCATCAGCGTCCTTCCAGATGTCCTTCCTTCCAGACAAAGCCACGGCAGGCGGGGGCCGAGGCAGATGGCCATCACGGCGGCAGGGGCCAAAGCCTTGCATGAATTTTGTGCATCAGGCCTCTAGAGTTTAATAAAAGACTTTATCCTAGCCTTGTTCCTAAGGTTGAGTAGCAATCTGAAGTATTTACAGAAACCACTAATGAAAGACAGAAGTCTGAGAAAAGTTCATTTGCATCAGACTCCATCTCTGAGATGCTAAAATGTAGGAATGATTCTTTTCTGAACATTAAAGGTCAACTTTTCATGCAATGATACAGCTCTACTCGGCACATTCCATTCACACATATCCCATATCGCAACTGGCATGAATTCCCAGCATCAGCTTCGGAAACGCTTTTCAACAAGACTTTGGAGAGGTAAATGTTCTAATCCAAGTAAATATTAAAAGGCATCTTGAAAACTTACCTCTCTCCCAGTTAGAACATGCCTTGCCAATTTCACTTTGGCAAAGTTCCCCTTCCCTATTGTTTTTTGTAAACGGTAATTCCCAATGTGAGGCTGTTCGTCTGCTGCGGACGTAATGGAGTTTCTACACCGAGGGATGTTCTGTCTGCTACTCGATTTGGTAGGCTGGATGTGCGGTTCAGTATATCCATCCACAGATGTATGCTAAGAAAAAGGTTGCAAGATGTCAATGCTAATTCAATTATAAAAGGGCAGTTTAAAACACTGGGAATAATTTTCAGTAATGACTCATCTTCAATGAAAATACATCACACTACACAATTTTAAAGTTTGGGTTCTATTTATAATTTCTATTTCGCTTGAGCTCCTTTTGCCAGAGGGAATATAACTGTTTAAAATGAAATGTTCTGCTCAGCTTCAGGCATATGCTTATGATTTAAAAATACAAATGGTTAGGTAGATAGGAGCCCCACCGGCCATTACTCCTCTAAGAGTGTTATTTGTTTAGTTGAAATGACATCATAGTCTAGAACTGCTTTATTAAAAAGCCTTTCATGCCAAGACAAACAACCTCATGAGCATGGTTCTATTTCTCGAAACTTGTCATGTTCACACTTTCATTTGCTGGGTGTAGAACTCAGCCAACTGACCAATCAGCTCCGAACTTCTGGTATACCTCTAATCAATTCTTGCCCGATTCCCTGCTCAGCTTACCATGCACAAGCAAGAACTACTGAAAGCCCTGCTTGCCTCCAGGACCTAGTAGCCACTTCATTCATCCTCAGTGCTGTTCTTGAAGCAAAGATGTCACCTTGTCTCACACTAGCCTACAACTGCAATGAAGAGCAGACCTTGTTCACCTGCAAGTTCTGCACGTGAGGGTCCAGGTAGAGCTGCCTAACAAACGCTTTTTCACCAGCTCCGATTGTTCCTGCCCTTGTCTAGTTTTGTCTACATTCCTACACATATAAAATTCCTAGCTGTCTTTGTGAAAACATTGAATCACAAATAAACGCAACATCTTTTCCCCATTAGCTTCTTAAAAATAGCTGAAGACGAGCAGGACAAATTAGCAAAAGAAGGGGATATCTTTTATTTGTAAAGTAAGTCAGACTTATGTTGTCCTACCTATGTGATGAAAACTTGTCTAAAAATTTTTGATCAGAAATGTCTTAAAGGCAACCTTAAAGATGACTCCATTTGCCAGTCTCATGCAAAGCCTGACTCAAGGTTAGTCATTTTTACCTATTACTACTTTCTGATTTTTAAAACACTTGGCTCAAAATTAAATAAGGTATACAACCAGAAGGCCAAGTTAACTCCATACAAAAACAAAACAAAACAAAAAAACACATAAAACAATTTATCATCTCAATTTGAAAAACACAGAGTAGCACTGAGTGATAAGCCATAAAACAGAAACAAGAAGAGAATATTCTATCAACACCCATTCAACATTATGATTGTGCAAGATAGACCAGCCATGCTTTTTAAGATTTATATATATATCATCTTTTCACCACTGGCATAAATATAAGCCTAGAAAATGCAAGTAAATCAATATAATCTCTTGGAAGCACTACTTGACTTTAACAGAGTTACAAGAGAGAGGAAACATCCTTAATAATCAATTACATTTGGAAAGAATCCTTTGGTGAACTCTTAATTCAGCTTAGACATTACAGCCCAGGAAAAGCCATCCATCATATCAGAGCTTCTGTTCCTCTTTCAACTCAGCTGGGTTCAGTGCCCATTTCTGGTCTTTCTATAGTTATTTCTAGCAATTCATAGCCCCCAATTATTAAATTGATTTTTATTAAAATGACATATGCACATGGTCAAACATGTCCAGTAACTCTCATAGGCTGCTATCAAAAACTACCAGTCTCCTGTACCACCCTTCCAGACCTCACGCCTGCTCCCCAGAGCCATTTCTTTTAGCCTTCTCTTCTCATATTTGATAATTCTTGGTTCATCGGTCTTGGACATCCTCTCAATTTCCTACTATGGCTAATTATGATCTTTTATAGCCCTCAGCCCCACTTCTCCTCTTCCTAATGTAATATAATCAAATTTTCAGTTAAAAACTATTGTTTATATAATTATGACTTATAAATACTAACTCACTGAAAGCCAAGTAGTATAGTATGATGCTTCTATTAAACTTTGTCAGCTTCACTGTGGTATAAATAACACACAATGAAATTCACCAAACTTCTGTATAAAAGATGAGCTGTGACAAATGTATAAAGTTTGTCAGCTTCATTGTGGTATAAATAACACACAATGAAATTCACCGAATTTCTGTATAAAAGATGAGCTGTGACAAATGTATAAAGTCATGAAACATGACTACAATGTAAATATGTAAAACATTTCATGTCAAAAAGCTCCCTGTGCCCCATTGCTGTCAACGCCCCCCTCTCTGATACCACACTTTTGCTTTTCTAGAACATTAGGTAAAGAGATCACACCACAAAGAGTTGACCCTGTTACGTTCACTGTAATTCCTGGCATGCTTGCTTATGTCTGCATATTGTTTTGTGCTTTCTCTTTTCCTTAGTTTTTCTATATTCATTGGATTTCCTCTTTTCCTTTTTTCTCCTCTTCTGTATTGGGAGCTCTACCTCCAGTGTCTACTCTATTGGTATTTATTTTAAATCTTAAGGGTAAAAGTGAAGTGAGGTGGGTTGGGGAAATGTGGGAAATGAGGAAACGGAGGCAGTGAGGGCAGATAATGCCTCTGAGAAGTGTGACTTCAACGAAGAGGCACCAGTGCGACAGGGGCGCAGCTGGGGGAGGTTACTGTCTAGTTGCTTGTTTTGAGATGGGAGAGACTTGAGCATGCTGAAATCCCGAGGGAAGGATCCAGTAGAGAGAGAGAAGCAGCTGAGACAAGAGAGGGAAAAGATAAGTCAAGTTCCTGGGAAGGTGAAAGTGAGAAGAGGCAGAGCACAGATGGAGCGATGGCCCTTCTGCAGGAAGAAAGACATCTCTTCTCCTGTAACAAGCAGAAAGGAAGAGAAATCAGGTCTAGATGCAGAAAAGTACGAACACTTGATAGTAGGAAGTTGAGGGAGTTCCGATCTGATGGCTCTTCACTTTCTCTGTGTGGTTGGAGGTAAGGTCACCTCCTAAGAGTGAAGGGAGGCTACAGGTTTGCAGAGAGTAGAAGAGATTTGAAAGAATTTCTGCAGAGGAAAAGCACATTAATCAGAGAAGCCTAGTAAGGCTGCTGGGCAGTACTGACGGTCTAGTTGACATTGATGACCACAAATTTATTGTGGCACTCATCTGTCCAGTTGTACCATTTTCTTCAGCAACACTCAAAAGCCCACGGCAAGGGCGAAGGAAGCAGATATATGAGTTCATCCTGATCTGGGGTTTGCCAAACAGGTACCAACGAAGAGAATGGGGCAAGATGAGTTAGGTTATTGGCGAGTTATTGAAATGATGGGCTATAAAATGTGAACTGGATAGTGAAGGAAATGAAGACAAAAAAGCGTTGATGGAGAGAGACAAGTAGAGGCCAATATGCTGGAGGGCCTACAGGTTTAAAGGTTCATAGTCACAGAATAGTCACTGCAATGAAATCAGAGAATGATCACAGCAAGACAAGCTAAGACAGCGCGGTCCCTGGCCCAATACCTGTAGTCAGAGATATGGGTGATTGGATTAATGATTCCCGATGCTACCAGCATAGGCTGCTCTGTTACTACCACCAAGAATTGTTCTGCATTTTAATCAGATTTTTAAAAACATGCCTATTCTATTTTTTTAAAATGTTTTAAAGAATACCATTAAACCACATAGCCACATGATTAGAAATTATTTTAATTATAATTTTCACTGGTTACATTATTCACCATAGTTTCCTACATCCCTACATTTCCCTCTTTTAGATTCACTTTTTCTAGTTTGAGAAATTTTTTCAGGTAGGTGTGTGGTAGAGGTGATATACTTTCTAAAGCATTGCAACTAATTTTTTCTTTAACTTCACTTATAACCAATAATTCACTTGGATCCAGAACAAGGACAAAGGAGCATTTTCCCACTTATTTCTGGATTTGTTCCAGATGGTTGAATTTTTTAGAATCATGACGTAGTGAAAACCAGAAAATCACCACAATTAAATTGTGACTCATACATGACAAAACAATAAAAGAGAGAGGAAATTTTGTAGAATTTCCAGGTGGCAAAATTTTTACAGAAGTTTATCTAAGGAATAGACCCAACTACAAAGGAGAACTAGTGATAGGTCAATATCCATATTGTTAGTATCTCATATCAATGGGGAAATAATAAATTATTCAACAAATGGTTTTGTAACAACTAGAAAAAGACTGAGTTGGATCTCTAGATTACAGTATTACTCCTTATATCAAAATTAATTCTCAAATATTAAGGATATTAATGTAAAAAAAATGCCAACACTTTCAAGAAGCCATAAAAGTAAGCACTAGAAAAATAAACGACAGGGTAGCAGCTATTTTTATAGTCTCAGCATGGGAAATACTGACAACTTCAACAAGTCAAGACTATGACCAGTTCACCCAAGCAAGTGCTAAAATAAAGTTCTGTGGTTATTCTTATCAGGATATCGGTTGCTCCCACAGGGACCTCACTACTGTGGCATCGTCTGAAATCAGGTGTCAGCTGACTAGAGACATCACAGGCTCCAAGTGACGGTCACTGCTGAGAAAACTGGTCATCCATGCGACAGTGAGAACGGAATGGAAAAATTTCTGATGGACGCAATTTAAATGTACTAAATTTCCCCTTAAATTATATTCATTTTTCATACCTCTCACTCCATTCTGAATGCAAGAGCCGGTGCAAACAATGCCTCACTGAGATAGGAAAGCAGAAAGTACACTTGGGTTTTTACATCCTTTTGCATAAAAATAAGTAGCTTTGTACTGTCCTAAATTATAAACAGAATTTGCCTCTCTCAAAAATAAAATAAAATAAAATAAAAATGAGAAAAAGGAGACAATCTCATCTTCTAAAGAAGAGAATGAAAATGAAATTATGTTGGACAATTTTCTCTTTGGAATTTGAATAAACTCTCTTAGGTGAAAAAAAATATTATTTCAGGAGTAAGATGAAACCAATACACTTCAACATGACATTGTTTAGTTTAACAAATAATCGAGAACCGACAACTGCTGAGGAATAAGCATGATTGCAAGAAATGACCCAAACTATTAAAGGTTAGCGAGAAAAACGAATATAAACAGTTTTGACACGAAATGTAATTGATGACAGGTGTACACAGGTGCTGTTTTTCTGTCAGCTGGACCTGTTTCCCAACATTAGACACTTATTCCCAGGCCCCCTGAGTTGTAATTCTGTAGATCTTTTACCCACCTTGGACCATATGGGACCTCTCTGGGTAACATTTAAAGGAAACAAACTGCATATACATCTGGTCTTTATGTTTCTGGCAATGATCCCTATAATTAAATAATCAACTGTCTGTCTCCAGGGGGTAGAAAAAGTGCTGATTTGCTTGTTTCACACTCAGCAAAACACCTTCTACAAGATAGACGCCTGGCCTGCCACAGGCTCTCATGTGTGGAATGAATGAGTAAATGTTATACCGACCAATGAATGGACACCCTTGATTCAGTCCGTCTCTGATACTCATCAGATAAGACACAGCCTTGAGTTAAATATAGTCTCACTCCGAGGCACAAAAAGTTGTTACAAACCGAACAATCATAAAACAG